GGTAGGTCGGTAGGTAGGAGGTAGGTAGGTAGGTAGGTCGGGCAGGCAGGCAGGCGGGCAGGCAGGCAGGCAGTAGACAGACAGATAGATAGATTAGGTTAGAATAGATTATAGACTATAGATGATAGATTATGATGTATAGGTTATAGGTTATAGATTGTGAACTCTAGACTTTGGATGATAGGTTATAGGTTGTGGGTTATCGGTTATAGGTTACAGATTGTAGGTTATAGATTATAGATTAAAGATCATGGATGTTTAGGCCTAGGCTGTAGGTCGGACACAGATACATAAACGTCTATATATATATACACACAGACACACTATCTATACGCATATGAGTAGTTCTCTAAAATAGGGCCCCCTCTTAGGTCCTAAATATAGTACGGAACCGTTATAAAAGGAACCCTAAGAGGGACCCTAATTTAGGGAACTACGCATCTGAGGAGTCTGCAGTGAAAGAGAGGAAGGGCCTTTGCCTCAGTGTGAAATTCCTCAGCGTTCGTACGTCCCAACAGGTTAAAGGGTTTAGGGTTTAGGGCTTAGGGTTTAGGGCTTAGGGTTTAGGGTTTAGGGTGCTAACCTGCCTTCAAGCCCTGGTGCAGGCCGCTCCAGCTCACCTGGCAAACCTTGGCCGTGGGCAGGGCCCAGCCCGAGAAGCCATCGAAGGTCCGCCACAAGGCGTCCACGGCCGTGCCATCCACCAAGTTCACGAAGGCGTAGCCGAGGTTCGCCTTGCGCTGGAAGTCGCGCGGCAGGTAGACGAAGTCGTAGCGACCGGCAAAGCCGTGCTCGTCCAGCATGGCCAGGAACATGTCGCGGCTGTAATTGTTCGGGATATTCCGCAGAATGAGTGTGGTGCGCTCGGCTGTCGCATGCTTGGAGTCCTGGTCCATGCTCGCCTCTGCCGGTTGTGGCGTCGGCTCTGCCGGTGCTGCCGGCGCAGGAGGTGTGCTAACAGCCTCCTGCGCCTCAGCGCGTTCATCGCTGAAGCTACCTGGGTAGTACGGCTCCTCGTCGGCAAAGGCTCCCATCAAGATCGAATCCGTCATTGCGGCACGCAGCTGTTTAAAGCGTTGCATGAGGCTTCGGCCATGATTCACGTTGATGAACGTGCTCCTCACAACCACGTTGAACTGGCCGTCTTCATCATCCCACACGTCAGCCGTGTTGCTGGAGCGCGGCGATGAGACTCCAGAAGGGCAGGAGTCGGTGACGGTTTCAATGTCGCTGTGCTCGCCCGCCACAGTGCTTTCCACATCACTGTGGCGGTCTGCGGGCTCCGACTCCGGGACAGCCAAGAAAGTCGCTGAAGATGGCAGGCAGGACATGGCAACGGGGGCTAGACAAACGTTGACCGCCGCACTTTGACGACTGCAAGTCCTGATCCTGCACTTGCTGCGGAGCCACGGCGACCCGACATACGAGGCGGAGAACCACGGGACAGATGTCGATCCTTACGTTCAGTGGCCTCTGAGGAGACTTTGCTGAAAAAACAATGTCAGTTCTCTAAATTAGGGTTTAGGGTTTTAAACCCTAAACCCTAAACCCTAAACCCTAAACCCTAAACCCCAATATAGTACGGCACCCTTGTAAAAAGGACCCTAAAAGGGAACCCTACTACTGAATACTACGGGTAGTTGTCAAAACTATGGTCCCTTTTGGGGTACCCTAAATAATAGGTGCCGTATTATAATAAGGACCCAAAAAGGGTTTAGGGTTTAG